AGCTCATTTTCGCACCGATGACAAAAACATACTAACACTTAAAACGCAATAACTTCACTTGCGATAGCTGAAATGTCATGAAATTTTTACTGGAAGTCGATAAAGGATAGCAGATTCTAACGCACTAGTCGGCATATAGATGGCGCCAATAGAGTTTACTTTGTTACTTTTTTACTGTTTATTTTGGAACGCACCTTGTATTTTACTGGAGCCCTCCGAATTAAATTCTTCTTTTATAACTCAGTAGCTAAATATTTTTCCTGTAAAAAAGATTACGCGCGTTAATTTTACCTTAGATTTACCGGTACTCAAATATATTAAGGGTGGCTCGTATAACAGAGAGAGAAGAAGCGGTCGTGTCTCCGCACCTGAACGATTTAATGAGACGCATACGTATGTTGGGGTTTAATAACATCAGTCAACAGATGAACTGTTCGGTGTCGAATATGCTTAAATATTCAACAAATAATTTTCTTTGGTGTCATTTTTTATGAAACAGTTAATTTCTATTTTTAAAAATCAATTGTACATTATAGTATGACGTTAGAAGTATATTTTCATGGAAAAATATTAATAAATACGACAATGGCAGCAATTTGCGAAAAAATCGGTTCATTTGTTATTGTGTAATAAAAAAAATATTAACAAACTAAAAAAAAACACTCCAGCGTTACCTCGTAAATTGTGTAAGAAACAGTGTTCAAAATTTCAAAACGATGCAGTAGCTTTGAATTTATTAGGGGCACCGACTTTGAAAATATGAGTTGTGGGAAAAATGTTTTAAACTTTCGAACACTAAAAAATTTGGGATTAAACGTTCATAAACGTTCTATCGGTTTACTTCATTCACACTGATTCATCAAAGCCAGTTCCATAAAGAATCTTGCAATCATCCATGGTGTTTAAGGCAACTTTTTGCTATCTACGATGAATCTTATCAATTAAACAATTCCACCCAAGTGCTTTGGTAAGATTCTCTAAATAAGTTGGTTCAAAGTTTCATTGTTTTTCTGCGTAAAGCCTCTGACACATTGCTCTAGAAGGGCATCTTTGCTCATATCTCCATTCATGGGTTAGATGGTATCCAAAACAACTTTGAACGAATCCAATGTATTAGCAGCTGCAGCTTTTGGCCATTCGCACCAGGAGTCTGATATTTTTCGTGCTGTGGGTTCTCGTCTCGAAAAAACATCACCATAAGGTTTGGAATTCACTAATCCCTAGTAAGTTTTGGTGCCACCGCCACCGGTATAATTGCGATAACGCACACCATTCGCTACCGAACATTCAAACATGATTTTTATCGCTCCGATCTCCATATTTCCATCTGCACCATTATGATTTGCCTGACGACACTTTCCCGAATCTATGTGATCTTCATGCCACTAGAAATTGAGCCAGCTGCTTGGTAATTAACCATAGCGTGCTCGAGTCAGTTAGAAAAATTCACAAGGTATAAAATAGCTATAACTCGGTCAATTAGGCTAGGATCGACTTAAAATTTAGACACAACATTTGAATGTAAAAAAAAAATTAAAAAAAGCTTTAGAAACCCTACTCCTCCTTAATTATCGTTTCCTATTCTTACTATGTTTTCTGGATCTTTGATGACAGACCCTATTGTAATTACCGTAAACCTAATTTGTTGGGCCTTAAAATGGTATCATTCACACAAACTCGTTGTGTTCGAGCGTAATGTGTAATAAGAAACAGTCATGTCAGAGAAGAAAACTTTGTAGGACTAATGCAACGGTTGTTGCATTCATTTTTGGCATGAGACTCGAACATAATTCAAGTCTCCTTTCGAAGCATGCAGCTCCTCAAGCAGCGTCTTAATGAACGAGAATTCAGAGAAAAGTTGGAGTTCATTTTTACCCAATACACGATAAAATTTTTAGTTTTAATCCACAAATCTAAGAGAGATCTGATGTTCCTCGAACGGAGGAAACGAGTTGTTGTTGTAGTGGTTATCTAATCACTATCTTTGGTGGTAAGGTTCGGATTGGTTGTCATAGAAGTACCCCAATTCGAGCTCATCGTATGGAGTAGCAAAACAACTGGGATGAAGCGAACAGTAGCAGCAGCGATCACCTTGAGATTTAACGTTCGCCAATGATTACGCCCGTTGGAATGGTTAGTGCGTTGGAGGTGTTCTCAGTAAATTCTATGAAGCCGACCCAGTTAGCTTTGTTAGGTTAATGAAGATGAGGTTGTCCACAGAAATAAGAAATCGAACGATTGTAGAAGTGGCGTTTGTCTCGGGTGTCCGGTGCTGATATATCCGCTTGGGCGGTTGTCGCACTGTGGTGTTGTTTGGCGACGCCACTAGATGGGATTGCGGGTGCAACAGCACGAGGCAACGTACGACAGGCCGGAACACGTCAGAAAATGACACCAGCCAGTACAAGAATTGCACTTGACTGATCTGACGTTTCGGCGTATTATGGTCTGACACACGGAACAGACTGTGCGAGGAACCAGGAGTTGCTAACTGGTTCTCGTACGAGGATTGGAACGGGATGAAGGTTAGGGAGGATTGGTCAGTCTGGAAGTGATGCTGCCTGTACGTAACTGTAACCTACCGATCCAAACAGGGTTATATCGCCGAAATGACAGCCCTTGGTCGGATAAAATCCGGGTCAATTCCGGTAACCTAGAACCGGCTGGTAGAAGTTGCTCCATTGATGACAAACTTAAGATCATTGAAATAACAGCTCTTGGCCGGAAAATACCCGGGTCAATTTCGGTCACGTAAAACCGGTTATCGTGGGAGTTGTAGTATTATGGTTAAAACCAGTCTACTCTACTTATGATAAGAATAAATTTCTTTCGAGATCCACCTAGCAAGTCTACTATATCATTTTGAACTGAATCAAACCGATTTTAAACTTTTCAGATTATTATATTTTTACTTGTGATTAAACGTTTATTTATGAGTTTACAAAGTTACAATGGGAGGACAATAATCACCTTTGCCTTCTAAGAGTTCTCTTTCCCGCTGCTTTCGTAATTCTTCACGATGTTTTAGTGTTACTGTTCTAAATTCCATGTATTCTGGTGAAATTTCCTCACCATCAACGTCTTGATCTTCATTTAAATAGCGTTGCTCTTCACCATCATCCTCTGACGATGTTTCATAAACTGGGACGGTAGTCAACAGTTGATTGCGCAATTCTTTATTTTCCTCCTCCAATTTCATTGCTCGTTGCTTCCAGTATTCGATTTTCAGTTCACATTGGCGGATCACAAGCGATTCATATATACCACGCCATAAAGAAGCAGCCTTGGTAACGGGATCAATGAATGACCTGGCGTATGAAAGTGTTGGTTTAGAACCTTCTACGTTCGAATTTTTTTCTGCAAAACTCTGAATTTTTGCATTTCTAGCCCGTCTTCTACTGCGTTGACGCCTTTTAAGCGACTTACTTTTCATTTGGTACATAAACAAAAAAATGCCAAAACAAAAGTTTATTGACAATTGGGCACAATCCAAATCAGCTGGCCAATGCAGAGTATAATATCATGGTATTAGGGAGTAGCGAAAGTCACATTCACAGTAGTTTCGCCACCTCTGAGGCGTACGTTCACAATAAAACCAACATGGTGGCCATGGTGTGTTAGGGTGGCGAGGGGTTAAAACGGGTTGCGCTTATCAGAAAACGCCTAAATAATTATTTATAACTATTTGAAATTTTGGTTATTAATTGATGTTTAATGATAACAATATATGATATTATACCATGTTGATATAGGTAAATATGCGGCATATTTTTAAGCATTTTAAATAACTTATTAATGGACAAACTGAAAATTCAATTTAACTATGAGTGGACGGGAAGAAATAACTATTGTAACAGAATTTGATATTATAAAAAATAAGAATTTATATAATCAAAAAAGCAAAACTTATCATTTTCATACAAGTGATAATAATTCATTTAAACAATAAAGCAAAATTAATCATTTTACTTATATTAAGAAATAGTTACTGTGGCGATGTTTTCTCTAATTTAAGTATAGATTTATTTAATCACAAATTTTATTTACGTTTTATATATCAGCAATTAACGGTGGATATAAGTACAATAGTTTATTACAACTTTTGACATACAAATTTACCATATTATTATATAGTTCTTAGTTTAGTTTTTAAATATATAGACTTCTAAAATAAATTATTTTTTGAAGTTGCAATATCTTTATAGTTTAAAATACGGTAGGCATAGCAGGTAGCTGTCTCTGTATTTCAGCATGTAGCGATTATAATATGTACAATATTTTACCTATAACTCTTTACATAAATAAATTACCATATTGTTATATAGTTCTAAGTTTAGTTTTTAAATATATAGACTCCTAAAATAAATTATTTGTTGAAGTTGCAATATCTTTATAGTATAAAACATGGTATAAGGGTATAAAATACGTTAGATATATTTCTTGTTTAAAAAATAATTTAAAATTAGCTTGCGCAACACTGTTACGCATTGCTCAGTAGCAATACTGGCATTTGAATTTATTAACAACTTTTAGTCAAACGGACGGACAAGTTATTTTATAGGGGAAAATTGCCTCTTTTTAAATGTAATATAATTATTTTATGGTTTTTTTTTCATAGAAACAAACAAGTTATTTCGCATCAACAGGTTAGTATTATTTTCTATAATTCAAATTAAAAGAAAATACGAATGGGAACTTTTTTACAGAAGCAATATGCCACGCAAGTGCATCAGAAGCTGCAAAGGCTCGTTACGTCTTTACAAATTTCCGGGAGTGTATTTATATAATTATTGCAAAATTAACTTTTTGAATGTTTTTGTTTTTTTATTATTAATAATTTTGTTATTTTGTTTTAAGGTATATGGGTGAAAATAGGCCTCCTGGGGAACCGAACACCCAAAAAAATCGGTAACGCGCTATTTGCATACCTCATGGTGGTGTGGAAAATGCATTATAGATATAAGGATATGTACTAAAATCCAACGAAATAAAACATATAATTTGGCACAGAAAAAATCATGTTTTTATTTAAACAAAGTATTTATATTAATATTTTTAAATTGTTTCAATGAATGCAAATAGAGGCGTTGCAAATGAAGAAATTGCCCATGATTCTAACTTTTGTTGGTGTTGAGCACTATAATACTGGCCACATATTAGCTTTGGAAACAATTAGATGCACACTAAAACATTTACTCTGATAAAAGCAATTTGATCGTAGGAGTATGATAATTTACATATAAACAATTTTGTATCATTTGAAACGTAATGTTTGTTTCACTTTCCAAATCATTATCATACATAAATCAGTTTCTAAATTTAAATCACTCAATCGAATTTAAGTACGCAATCTAAAGAATCAGGACGTCTATTAATAAAATTATATCCTTCCAAAACGATATTAATATCATGCACATTGTGGGCGGGTTAAAATAGCTTTTTTATTTACTACAGGTTTTCTCTGAAAAACAAATAATTTTTGTTATTATTTATTATTCTATTCACTAATACACACCTGCGTATTTTAAATTCTTGTGTGAGCAGTTTTATCAAGAGCAATTAGCATTAAATATTAACTATTTTACGAAGTTTGTGTTGCAAATTTTTAAACATGGCCCTCAGTTTCGTTGAATAAGCATTTTCTGCATCCCGTTATTTGACATAGTTGCTTAATTGCACCTTACATTCTTCTGTGGTGAATATTTATTAAGTTACCACAGTTAAAAAAGGCTTAAATATATATCGTAATTATTCTGAAATTTGCTAATAATAGCCGCTTTTTTAAGAACATATATTAAAATAAACTTATTTTATTTTGAAAACATATTAAAGTTTTACATATAATCAATATTTTTTGGACAACTTTTTTATAAATTAAAAGAAAATAGAAAAATGCAACCATTTTCCGGTTAAAAGTCGGCCATCTTGGCTATCAATAGAAACTCAACCGCTAGGCGGACTGGACGTTTCTCCATGGATCCCTCTAAGCTGTAGCATTGTTTACATCCATCAGCTGATTTTTTCTCTTCCCCCTTTACGATGTATAATATCACATCATTGTGAATCAACAAGAAAAGCACAGAACGCTTTATCTTCTCTAAAAGCATTTAATTAATTTTTTTTCATTTGTTTTGAAATACATTAAAAATTAATTTTTATATATGATGATATAAATGCATAACTTAATTTATACAGGTAGTAAAACCGAATACAATTAATACCAGAGTAGACCTAATAGAAATTTTATATATTATCTGTAAAAAGAGTTGTACATAATTTATTTGAAAACTTATTTGCATAATTGTTTAATCGCTCAAATTCTCAGATATATTAAAACAATAATAAAACCGTAGTCGTCTATGGCAAACGTTAAAGTGAAAAAAACGAAATTAATAAACGACAATCGATATTTTATGTCACAGCAGAGAACGTAAATGGAGAGGAGAAATAAAAAGAACTGCAAATTGAATTTTGTATGATGCTCGATTGGACGGCTAAAAATTGAGATCAGGGAGTTCACCATTTCCTGTAGTATTTGCTGTTATTTAACAGAAATGAGAATTTATAACAACGCTCTCTGGAAAAATACGTATCTCCCAACATAAAGAGAAAAATGAAATGAAATAAATGAGAAAACAAAAAATACAAATGAAACTTCACATATGTATGCATGATTATTTTTTGTCATTTAAACGATTTTTATGATAAAAATTGATGAAATATGATTTTATTTGCACAAATGAGGCGATAGATTATGCAAAAAAATATATATTTTACTTTTTTAATAATTTTCTAATTTCACACATTGTAAAATAGAATCTTTGATATTATCACTTAGTGCATGTGCGCGCACTGCTCTATACGTAAATATGTATGTACAAATATACGTATGACATTGCAAAATAAGTAATGCATACATTAATCTATATACATATAAGCGTACAAATGTATATACATACATATGTATGTCAGCCAATAGGAAAAAAACAAACATTGTTACACAAAAACAACAATTGTCTCAAATAGCATGAGCAGCGTCAGAAATCAATACGGCAGCCAAATTGAAAAATCCCTAAGTAAATTACACAACAACAACATTTTCATTCCTGAACGTTTCCGCACGTGCAATAAGCTAAGTAGTTTCATTCATAACCATCCCCCGAGCATGCGTTTGCACTGCATTAAGAAATATATCAAAATACTTTATAAGTAATAATTTAAAAGTATTTTGATATATATCTCATAATAAAGTAAAAATGAATTAACATAAAATAATTTAAAAAATAATAAATAATATAATATATAAAAGGGAATATATTTCAAATAGAATATCAATATTCCCATTTTGGCATACATATTATATTCTCTTCAATATTCACCTTTGGGAATGTTAAGAGAGCTATACGTGCACAGATTCACCGTTGTTATAAAAGCGAGAAATGTTATTTGTTTCTACTGCGTGTGAGGTGAACTCCCCGATAAAATTTTACAAATGTTCGCTGTCGAAGCTGCACCTTCTCATTCTTCTAAGTTCTCTGATATAACAATGTGACATCACTTGGTAGAATTTCTTATGAATTAAAAATAATTTAAAGATGCGTATTTCATGTTTTTTAACGTACTTCGTTGCCAATTCACAATTTAAATTCGTTTCAAATATATATATATTGGCCAAAATATCATCTCTGATTTTTAGCGCTGACACTACTTTCATTGCGCCTCAAAAATTAGCTTACAGTGCTATTGAAACTATTACGAACCAGCTGTTGTGTTTTAAATGAAATGAAAGAAAAGCCAAGTCAGTAAAAAAAAAGTGAAAATTAGAAGACGACGTAAATTGTTTATAATATAGAAGATATTGAAGAGTATATTATTTATTTTGAAGAAAGAAAAATACAAGCTTTTCATTAAACAATAAGCATAATATTATAAAATGATAAATTCTGTCCAATATAATAATAAAGAGGGTGTACAACTAGGTTCCGTTGGATCTCCACCAACGGCGCAATTCCCGACTAGCACGGTAAATGTAATACTATTTTCCATTTCAATATTAAATTTTAATTGCTAATCTAATAAAGATATTTTTAATTACTACTATATATTAATAGGATATAAATAATGCTATAAAGCAAATTTCCAATGTTTATAAATAACAAGAAAGAAGCACATACTGTTTTTACACTGGTTACTGTTTGACTATCAACATTATTTTTGTAGGTATTGTGTACACATGATGGAGTTTTACTACGGAAAGGCAGCGTAGAGCACATAGCTGATCTGAACACAAGTGGCTCATTATCGGTCATTAGTTATGATATACCACGTCGTCTATACATTGAATGGCGACCAAATGACAGCATCCTTGTTGCCGACGATAGTCAGGATTGGGCAGTGGTGGATACAATTCCAAGACGCTCGCGCACGATTTCCGAATGTAAAGCATTCAATATAAAGGCCACTCCAGAAACGATAGCATCAACAAAGCCACGTTTAATTCGCACCCTACTTGATAATCTGAGTTCAATAATTGTGAAAGACCGTGGCCAAGTAATATGCTTTATACAGAAAAGCGACAATAACGTCTACAGTGAATTCTTTTTCCAACACGGCAATGCTGATCAATTTTTAAAATCCATGTGTGATCAACACATAATTGAACACACATCCTGTCGATTAGACGGAAGTGCAGAGTATGTTGTACTCAATACGGAAACACAGCAACTAAAACGCACATTTGCCGAATTAAACATCGAGGATCTAAAGAATACAGAATTAAAGAAAGATAAAGGATGGGTTAGAAATACGTGGACAGGACTACTTGTAACTTTACCTGACATAGCGTCAGGCGTTAAGGGTAGTAATCCGAGAAATTATGCCATGCGTAATAAACATATAGGTAACAGTGATGAAATTCATAGCTGTAACAGCAGTGAAAGCCAGTCACCGGTAGAAAGTGAGCTTGAAAACGTCAAAGAAGAGGATGAGAAGATAGTCAAAACATTGGCAGAGCGTCCAATGGTTGAGAGAAGTATGATTTTAGTTTTTCCAATTTAATTAAATAATAGTCACCCAATATTTACATCATTTTGCAGTTAATCCGTTAAATGAAGCACAGTGGTTAGAGTTCCAGTCTGCAGACGGTCGCATAACTGATGTTGCAGGCATAAAGAACCTTATTTTTCATGGTGGTATTCACTATAATTTACGCGCCGAAGTTTGGAAATATCTGCTCAACTATTACCAATGGAATGAAACTGAAGTTGAACGCATACAACGATACAAACAAAAGTCCAGAGAATATTATACAATGAAAGCACAATGGCTATCAATGACTGCTACACAAGAAGAACACTTCAACGGTTTCCGTGATCGCAAATGTCAAATCGAAAAGGACGTTAAACGTACCGATCGTACACTGGAATTCTTCGCTGGTGAAGATAATCCAAACTTGATGGTACTACAAGGCATACTTATGACCTACGTAATGTACAACTTTGACTTGGGGTACGTCCAGGGTATGTCCGATTTGCTAGCACCCATACTTTCCATTCAGGTAAGATATAAGTACATAGCTCCTATTTCGGTAATTATATATATCATTAAACATTTTCAGGGCAATGAAGTCGACGCATTTTGGTGTTTTGTCGGTTTTATGGATGTGGTGTTTGCAAATTTTGACATGGACCAGGCTGCAATGAAAACGCAATTTAACCAATTACGCCGTTTAGTAGAATTTTGCAACCCACGCTTTTTTAAATATATGGTCATGCATGAGGCAGACAATATGTTTTTCTGCTTTCGTTGGCTGCTTGTTTGGTATAAACGTGAATTTTCCAACGACGATGTGCTGAAGCTGTGGGAGTGCCTTTGGACTGGACTACCCTGTCCCAATTTTCACTTATTCATATCAGTAGCCATATTAGACCAACAAACCGATATAATTATCGAAAACAAATACCAGTTCAATGAGATTTTGAAGCACATCAACGAACTAACAAACCGCATCGATGTGAAATGTACTTTGGAAATCGCAGAGGCAATTTATCTGCAAATCAAAGCAGTAGAATACTTGCCAAACGATATTCGACAGATTATTGGAATGCCTATTTCAGACACCGAGAATGGCGAAGAACACTCTGGCACTGGCACTGATTTTGCCGATGAATTATATGAATTGGTGCGTAAACCAGGAAACGAAAAGCGAATGGAAGAGCAATTCGAAGAAGCGTGTGAACGTTCCATGTTTCTGAACTACACATAGAAAACATTATTGTGGTTGCTAAAACCACTATTATTTATCAAGCTAAGTTGCTAAATATAATAAAGATTTAGTATTTTGTAAGCAAAACTACCGCAGCGATCAGTTGATAATGTGTGCCCCATTTTACATTGTGCTTATGAGTCATACTTTTTCAATTTATTTATCGTTAATTTGCCATAAGTTATCGATGTGCGATGTTATCAGAAAGTATAAACATGCATAACTCAACACGAAATTCCAATATTTTTATTTATGATATGTATGTATGAAGCATTGACTGCTCTATTGAAATGATAAACAATTTAATTACATTTACCATACTGTGACATTTTGCTCCTCGCGGAGCCATAGGATGCAATATACATATGCATATATACTATGATCGGATATTTCTAAATTGTATTTTTTTTTGTATATGTACATGCATGTTATCTCTATTTTTATTTAAAGGAATTCAGGTCAAATCCTTAATTGTAGCCAGAACTAAGTTGTCTAATGACTAATGATTTTTCAACATAACCCCATGATCTCTTGGGATGAACCTATTCATATAGGTGAAGTTTACGGCATAGGTAAGTTTTGCGAAGAACATGTTGAACAGTAA